TCTGAACTGGATCTGTACTGGATTCAATTGGTCTGTACTTGTTTTCAAAGGTATTACACAGCAAATCCTCTTCAGTTGCGTAAGGTAGTTAAGATGGGCCCCAGTGCACACTATTATGGCGGGCTCTGGTTACTATTCCACCATCCATTCTACCAACCCCAGTAAAACCACACTGACTGCACTGTCTATAATTACACCACGATCCTCCTCATCCGGAAAAACACTTCTAAAACACAAGAGTGGAGAATCTGGAATCCCAGGGGGGATTGTCTCCATCTTATAGAAGTGCAGTTGGGAAGTTACAGTTATCAGATCTTTTCCACATACAGCAGAGACCCCATGTATGTCACTATGACTTCTCATTGCTTCTAATGAGGAATCCGCTTAGGAACAAGCAGCAAATGGGAGAAAAATCTGTTTACCAGAAAAGCCTTTTTGACAAAATGCTCTTTAGTCCTAAAAGCTCCTCTCATGAAACGCTAAAGAGGAAGAACATCTTAACCAAGCTGCTGAAAGAGGAGACAATCTTTATTACTAGTGGCATGGATCTACGGATGTCAATCTGTAGGACCACCCCTTTAGTCCTGACTGAAATAAATCAAGAAGCATTAAATTGATTGATAACACACATATTCATGGTGCCAAGAGGATTAATCCACAGGGCATCTTAACTCAGGGAAATTTTCATCCAGTGATATATCTTCGCATATATTGAATAGACTGGCACCAAAGTTGGTGTTGACACTGACACCAGAGGTCAGATACAGAGCAGCTAGAGCTCGTACAGACTCAGCATCCTTGCTCAAGAGCTTCAGTAAGGTAGATGTTTGAATGAAAACATTTCCCATCTCCAAGTGTCATAGTGTTTGTGTCAATATTAACCTGATGAGGTCCAGCAGAGCGTCCGCAGAGGTCATAACAGGCCCTGAACTTGCATGGTGGCCGTCTTTCTCTGAGCCCGTCCCAGGGTGTATGATGAGCACCAGCACGATGCCGACGATGACGGCGATGAAGGTCGTCCACAGGTAGTAGGTGATAGTCAGGACTCCCAGCCGACCGCTTGCCCTTGTGTCCATGGCTGACAGGCCGGACATAAGACTGGATGGGAAAAAAGGAGGTGTCTAGTTTAAACTGCTCAGTTTTTGATTCATTTTCAAACAATGAATTCAAGAGTTGTATAATTCAGTTTCAATGTACCTTCAATAGTTCAAAAACAAGGAAGATTATTTTGTTTAACTATTGAGGCATAGCACCAGACATTTGCTGTGTCACAAAATATTAATTTGAATTAATATTTAGCATATTGCTTAAGAATGTTTTTGGAAATTAGTGACTTGTCATCAACATATATAATCAACCCATCATCACGAGAAAACAAGAGGTTGTTTCCTCTCGTTGCTTTGAATGTTTATCAGAGATCAGAGAGTGCCAAGCCAACATGAATAGATGGCACATTATAGATATAGCATTGGTTCAACGTAATAAACAATGCATGGAGTAATGGCATGCAACATGCCAGTTAGTATTGTTTTTCATACTGACCAAAATGAGCCAGCAGGAATAAAAAAAAAGGTACATAAGAAGAATCTGGACATTGCAGGGATCATTAACTAAATCTCAATCTTCTCAATGCCAAGAAATCAATATGAACTCTCAGATATAATTCTGGTAATAACTTTATGAATCCTTCTCGACAGTCATGACAGTGATTGTAAGGCAGACATCAGGTGTGATCAAATTAACCAGGCATTCATTTTCGAGTTCTTGTAATCATTCCAAGATAAAAAAGGTAATTTTCTTGTGATAAATTAACTTCTCGAAATAACAGCCTAATTAAATTGCAGTGGCCGCAAGGGCACTGATGTTGCAACCTGAGCTTTGCGCCGTTCAAGACGATTGTGATTGGTTTAAATACAAACAAGCCAGCATTATTTGGGTTTAGGTGTGGAGAGAGGCCTAGCTATATGCTCCCTGTAACTTAGCTGCATGCAAAAATTTTGTACTTAAAAAGATGTAAAACAACACAGGTTTTTTTCTTTTCTTACCTGGAGGTAATGAGTGGAAGAATCAACATCTTTAACATCCTCATCAGCAGTTCGCCAGGGAAGGAAAAGTAGATCTTTGCCTGTGTGAGAGACAAAAACCTGAAGTAAACTGTATTTCTATGAAAGGATACCCTTTTTTAAGTTTACCATTATACTATCCAAATAACATCTCCTAACTGAAATTCCTGTGTACAGTGTAGTAGTGTGCAGAACAACACAATGATATGATTTATGTAACCCAAGGACTTGCAACACTGTAAAACACTCCCTTTAACTGTTTTATTTGATTTAAGTTTCAGATTCAGCACACGGACAAGAAATATGTGCACCCTAACTCTAACCCTATGAAATTTTATTAGATTTTTTTAACAATGAGGACAATGAGGACCAACATAGTTTTGTTAGCTTTGAAGTCAAACACAATGCTTTTACAAAACATATCGAAAAAAATGTTTTTACTGTCTCATTCAAGTATAACTCATATGTTCAAGATCTTTTCAGTGGCTCAATTATAGGCCAATGCTTTTCTTAACCTTTAAATTTCCTTTTATGCTATATCTAATTGCCTTAAACCTAAACGTATGTATGTGGATTTACGTGTGAACTAAATATATTATTCAATGGAAGAATAATGACACAACACTGTTTATGAAAGTTATACCAAATTGTTAGTATTTTAGAAATCACATGTAGCTAATTTCTTAATATTAGATTTAATAATAAAGGCACACCCCAGTATCACGCCCAAGAGTTTAATACAACCGCCAGTCCACTAGAGGATAACGTGTCAGTGTAATGTTATGCCTCATCTCGGTGTTAAAAGTACACACGTATGAAGGTATGGTACCAGCAGGGGGCGATAATAACGGGAAGAACGGACGAATGTAGCATAAAGACCGAGAAGGTCCGTGTAGGGAGGAGGTTTAAGGTAGAATGGGTCAAACACAGACCTTTAACAAAAGTCAATAGTTACTTATTTTTTAATCCAAACCAAGTGCAGAGTGTTGTTAAAAAGACTCTCTGGCAGAAAGCCATGAGGGCTAACTTCTCTGATGCTCTGAAGGTGAGGAACAATGTGACACTGCCACTGTGGTGGTTGTATTACACACTTTGGTTTGATACCAGGTCTGCCCGCTGTTTAATGCTGAGCAGGTAGCAGAGTTTTTTTTTAATGAAAACATCTGCCTGCTGCAACAGGACAACACTACAAGAGAATAGTTAAGAGTTGAGTTAAAAGATCCAATATAAAAGGGAGCCCACTATCAGCAACATCCTCCTTCTAGTAGGTGATTCAATGTTAATATACAAATATTAATTATAGCCACTTTAACTATTTCTGCACTTCTTCTGACACCTACGGTTCCCTGTTAACCCGGTTTTCTGCTTCTGTCTGCTTCCACTCTCACTTTGACATAACTGGCTTTATCTGCAGTGTCAGTGCACAACAGAAGTCAACAGGACAGACTGGCTGGTTCTTCCCATACTAAATGTTGAGTTAATTTGCACACAATGTTAACAATCCCACTACATTTTATCAAGGTAACATAACGTAAGACTGTAAGACCCAAAGACAGTCACATTGCCTCCTGTTAATTTTCTGTCCATGCATTCATCCATACCTGCGTGGACAGGTTGAGCGACCTGAGGACAAATCCAAGCACACAGCCCGTCACTACGGCAAGGACTGAGAGTGTCAGCAGGCCATTCCTCTTGCAGTAGTCCTTTACATATGCTCTCATTTTCACGGGCAAAAAACCATCCAAACACTTCTTGAACACCTCCATCATGATTTCTGCTCAGTCCGTATCCCAGAAGACCCCCCCTCCCCCCTTAGTGACTACAGATATCCGAATCTCCTGGAGAGCGAGGTCGATCAGTATGTATCCCACAAGATCCGAGGCGGAGGACAGCCAGAGAAACTGATCAGATGTGGGTCCCGTCTCGCACTGAAGAACTCATCCAGTCTGGGAGAGGAAGTGTTGACTCACTGATTCCTGGTATTGCCTAAAAGGATTATCCCTATCTTATGCTAACAGGGGCTCCTCCACAGCCGCTTCATTAACGAGATTAAAGACAAGACTTCAGCACTGATTAGCTCCTCCATTTATAGCTCATTATGAGTTATTACTACCTCCAAGTCATCCCATTCATAAAACTTGCTTGAATTATATCAGTATGTTCTACATCCTCGAGTCAATCATACTCATACTTTACTCATGCAAAGGATACAGAAATTAATTTCTAAATAATAGTGAAGTAAACAAGATAAAAGCTGTTGCGTTAAAGGACCAGTGTGTGAGATTTAGTGGCATCTTGTGGAGTAGTTGGAGGTCACAATGCCCTCGCCTCACCCTCCTGTTCCAAGCCTGTATGAACTGTGGTGGCTGTGAAAGTCGCGAAAAATGCCAAAGAGATCTAGGGTCTTTTGGTTTGTCCATTCTGGGCTACTGTACAGGCTCCTTAAAAGAGGACCCATTCCCTCTATAGATAAAAATGACTCATTCTAAGGTGACAAAAAGACAGCGGTTCTTATTTTCAGGTGATTATACACTACTGAAAACATAACTATTAGTATTATATTCCATTTCAGCTAATAGATCCTCCTAAATATTGCACACTGGACCTTTAAAAGTCACATGTAAGCCAGAATGTTACTGTTTGAAACACCACAGATGACATAATAACGTATAAGTGAAGAAGTTGCACTGTACTGGCAGGATTATCAGAGGGCAGGGGCCAAAGGACACCAGTCCTCGGTGTTCAGGACATGCCTTGACACTCATTGTCCCTTGATCTCACCATGACGTTAGGATTTACCGTCTGTGCAGAGGTCAGGGCCTGCACGGACGTCAGCACTTGGCATTTCAACTTGTAAATAATGCCTTGTTGGCCCAGAGAAGTGCCTCAAATGAACTTGGAGTTGTCGGTGTAAACTTGCAGTAAACCCTCATGCTGTTGAGGAGAATGTGTTTGCAATCTGCTCTAGATGAGACAAAGGTAACATGGTGCTGTTATATATATATGCTGTAGAAGGATATCTCTACGAATGGAATCATATTTATTAATGTAAGGCTGTTGTTGTATATTTTGGGACCAGATAGCAATGATATTGATAGGGATGTGTTAGAGAAGTACCCGCTGACACCGTGCTTCGGAGTTGGGTATAGTGATGGAAGGGGGGGTTAGGTAATTACAAAAAGTTCCAGGCCCAATCATAATTTCCAAAGCCACCGGGCGGGAGCCGTGTTGGAGAGCCATCCCAGCGCCTAATATGAATCATACTCCGTCTATTTTAACATCGGAACCCACACGTTTAATAATAGTCAGAATTGTGTGTTACATCCAGAAGATTAGAAATGAGAAACCATCTGGTTTTGTCCCCCTAACAGATAATACTGGCAATGTTTAATGTTATATAGAAGGGTAAACATTGAAGGGAACCCCCGTAAGCCCTTTACTAAACCATTGTTAAGAGGATGTAAATGTCACGTAAATCTCCATCAGGAGGCCCCCTAACCAAGCATTCCTATAGTACATGAACATTCAACTGAACATCAATAAACTGCCTAACCCTCTAGCAAACTGTTATTTAACGCGAAAGATATAATTTGAATCTTATAATATACAATGTATGGCCATTTATAATGTAATTATAGTTGACGCATCCAGATAACCAGCACTGTAGATAAGCAGGAAATATATACGAAAGGAAGAATTGTGACACATTTTATAAAAAGCAATTGTGGGGACAGAGGCCTGTTCACAGAAATCCATGGCATGCCAATTGTGTATCAGCCCGTTCCAGTTACTCTGAATGTGTCTGTTTGCTATGTTTCCGCTTAAGATGTATTTTCTGCAGTCCAGTCCTATTTCCTCCTGACGTCCAGCAGCCTCACATGCTTGACCCATGAAAACAATGTGGTTGCGATGGTAGCGTTTCCATGATAACAATAATTCCCAATAACATTTAAATCCTTGTCCTTGAAAACCAATGCCCTCCCAGGGCAGGATCAGGATGGTTTGATGAGAGTGGCATAGTGCTGTGGGTTCCCTGCTGTGTTTGACCTAGTACAGATCTGAAGTTAAGATTGATGGTTACGTAATATTGGTGATTCATGGTTTTTTCCTCCTAAAATGTAATGGTTGACTAGAATCCCATAGAGATAGGCGAAAATTTAGTAGTTACATGTAACTAAAATATATATAAGTAAACCAGTTGAGTCACTTGTACCTTTGTGAAATAGTACCCAGAAGGCTGCTATAATTTTCTTACCTGAAACCCCTCTAATCTGTGGATAAATGAGGATTTGGGAATAAAAATAACAAATAACCGAATATTTACGTTTCAACACCAACGCCGTAATATTTGTAATGCAGGGGCTGAATAGTGGAAATGGCAATAGAAAGCATTTCTTCTGCTAAATTTATATTATTACCATCGAAATCGACTTCGATAACCTTTTTTATCCAGGGCGTTTTGGAACAAAAAAATTGGTCCCCTCCAAACCAAAAAGGGTGAACATACTACAGAGAAAAGCAGATTATAAGAATAAAAGTCTTGTGGCTTGGTGGAGGGTTATCTTGTTAGATCTGTGTTCAGTGGTCCTGTGTCAGGAAGGTTCTTCCTAAAAATTCAGGGCAGCTGGCCTAGTCGGTTATCCCTGCTGTAACCAGACCTCAGTGTTCTTACCATGCAGAATACCTGAACTGAAGGGAGGTTATTTTGTACCTGGGTACAGACAAATCACCTAGTGTGAACACTGGGCCACTGTGCTAAAAACTCCAATGACAGTTATTAAACTCTGCACTCCTTCACGTCGTGAACATCCACTGGAATGGTCCAACGAGTGAGAGTCCCAGAGCTGCTTCGCACCTGCCACCCTAAAAAGAGGCTGGTGTTCACGTGGAATAGACGATGCTACTCTGTGAATTTATTAACGAAGCTTATGAGAGGTCCGTGTCAGATGTTCTGCCCTGGAGGACCAAGAATATTTGACGAGATGATGAAGCTCCCATATCACCGTACCAGATGTATATACAGGTTCGTTGTAAGGTTGGTTTCCACCCAGCCCTGAGGAGTGATCAGTGGATCCCTGGTAGTAAATGTCTTTATACTGGAAGGGCTAGTCACAGTACCTGATCCGCTGCATTCCTCTGCAGAGCAAAGACAAATCAATTCAATTTATCCCAGCCAGAAAAGAAACTCGCCCAGCAGCACAAGAGGCAGGCTCGCACAGCATCCCACTGTTTTGAAATGTTGCTGAAGTGAATGAACCTGGTAAAACAGGTAGGCCAGGCCCAGCGTCCGCAAGATGAGGATGGTGTTGCAGAGTCATGGTGGACTGTGGTTTCTGCATAGTGTTGACTGAGCAGATCTGAGTCCTGCAGTGCGTTGAAGCTCACAGGACTATAAAGCCTTCTCCAGTTCAACTGGAGGATCAAGGCTGACGATGCAAAGCCCTCCTCTCTATGGAAATTATTTCTTGCACCACTGTAGGCCACCGTGGGAACACCAAAAATCAGGAGAGAAATACGGTGCTTGGACCTTAACACCATCCCTATGATCCTTAATGGAATACAAGGAAAATATTTAAGTGCAGTTGAGGATTTAAGGATAAGTTTGTGTCCACTGTGGTTGGTATGATATGTCTGTTTGTCTGCCTTTAATTTACTTACATTGTTTACTGTAGATAAATAACACGTTAGTGCTGCTTAATTTTAATTTTATATATATGTATGTATATATTATTGTTTTGTGCAGCTATTGGTCAGGACACTGTTAAATATTTTTCTTTGGCTATAGTCTAGAATTAATTAAGTTTTCCAGCATACTCATAAACAGATTCAAGTAAGTGACCGGAAATGTAATCTTAACTGTATATGAAAGAGTGTCCGTAAGTCTGTTTCAGTTTTATTTAGATTCATTGTGGTTCTGCTTGATGACTTCTGTTCACTGGACCAGTTATCCTCTTCACAGTTTCTTCACCAAGTGTAGTGAGAATTGTGACATAAGAACTTAAACTCTGAGGAGCAGTGATGCTTTAAAATCATGCAAAACATATGTGGACACACCTGTCTTTGTCAAACTGTGAGGAAGAGATGAGGTGGAGTAAGTATAGGTTCCATCTCCCTGTGGACTGATTAAGCAAATGTAGAAACTTTAGACTTTCTGTTCTTCATCTCTCTGAATGTTTCTGACTTTGCAAAGTCTCCCAGAAGCCTTTGTGCTCATAAATAGATGGAGGCTGCCCTCTGCTGGTATTCCAGGTTCACAACAAACTTCATACATGAGATTGATTACACAAACTATATCCCAGGCTTTTATTTTTTATAAATGAACCCTAACTTACCTTAACATACCTAGGTTACCATTAGCATTCATAGGCATCCGTGTGTTCTTTGCATTGCATCATCTGAATACATGGAAGACAGGATTGTTCAGTGGATTGGTGGTCAGCACTGTCACTCCACAACAAGACAGGCCTGGGTTGGAGTCCAAAGTGGTGCTGGCCTAGATGTAGAAAC